GTGTCGCTTTAACAAGCTTATATCACAACATACAATATCAAACATCAAAGATGTGCGTAACCAGTGGCTTACAAGACACATTAACACAAATATACACAGTAGAAAACGCAAGATACAAATAACTAGAAGCGTACTAATTATTTTTTTATAAACACATATACAAAAAAACTCTCTAATATAACGAAATAGTTCCGCTTGAATGAGTACTAACGTTTATTTTCCAAGCCACGCAAACTCAAGCCTTTACTAGACTGCACTTATATATTGCGTCTGTACAATGACTGCTCTCGCTTTTAATGTGCATCTTACAGCACGTTGTGACATGCAGCAGTACACCCGCGGGTAAGGACTTGGCGGGAGCTCGCTCGCGGCACTTCCCGCGTAATCGATTAATTACTGAAACAAGTCGAAGACGTTAATACTTGATTGATTTATTGACGATTGAGTAATTTGCGAAGCATGTCAAACCTATACAAATCGATACATTCATTCCCTTGACACTTGCTGGCATCAACGATGGAGAGAATCTAGTATGTTACCTAATTACTGGCGCGAAAACACGTTTTCTTTTGGACTTCAAATTCAAACGGAAAGTTGTAAATACATGCAGATTTCAAAGTTTCTCGGAAATGACCAAGCTGGTTTGAGACGGGTGCTTTCCCAAATAAAATCTTAAATATGCTTGCAATTTTAAGCAGCAAAATATATTTCTTGAATGGCTGGTACATTTTTCAACCTTCCAATGTGTTTTAGTGTTTTTTATTTCGTTCATATTCATTTTTTTTATAACTTTGTCTCATTTACAAAAGCAACATTTTCATTAATCTTTACCTTCAGTAAACGTAAAATGTTTAAAAAGTTCAACAATGTCCATTTCTTTCGCGCAAGCTTGCTGACTTGTTTTGACGCCTGTCCTCGTATCCCATTTGCGCAGATGGATACTTATGTCTAGTCCAGACGCCATTTATTACAGACGATCATATAGATGGAATATCTGGACTTGGAAAAGCACATCTTGCTTAAGTGGACCCTCTCCAGAAATACATCATACGTATAATCATCATCATAATCATATACAATAGAACCTTACGTTTCCCGATGGAGAAATCCCAGGCAGGCATCGAGTAAAACCGTCAGAATGACAAGTCCGTATAGGTGTTTCGTGGGATAATTACATTCATTAAAATTTTCTTTCTCTGTGTCAATGCATGACGAAACGAGTTTTGCCACGAAGCGATATCATGAATTCAAAATCTCCCTTCGCGAAAATGTTGAAATATATTCAAAAGCTCATCTTGAAACAAACCCATTTCTAATCTCACTTTGAAGCCAAATGTCTGGTCTCAAATACAGCTCCTAAAACATCCCAGGTATGTCTACAATACTTCCCAATAAAAGTCTAGCTTCTTCATCTTACATGAAGATATTCTCGGGTCTTCTTCCAATATTATCAAACTACCCATGCAAAACCATTAACAAATCAATTCAGAGACTAAAAGTAAGTCTACCTCGTTGTCGAACACACAGTTACTATGCAACGTCATTAATTATGTAATGTTTACCTTCAGACGCTGTTAATATTTAGCGTACTTCGTGGGAGATTTCGTTTCGAAATATTCAACTATGTAATTCATAAAACAATTGTTTTGACATTTGGTGTACTTTTCATATTTCATATAGGAAACGACACCTGACATCAAAACCCTTGCCTAACAAATATACCAGACCAGAAACTTGACATAAGATCGTGACAAGATTCTTTTTAAATAAAATGTCAATCAAATCCAAAATCGTCCTCCTGAATGTTGATCATGGTCTGATTTGTTTAAATCACGTGACTTAAAACACATTTCATTTGAATATTGTCTACTGCTGTCTACTGCTGTCTACTGCTGTCTACTTGGGTTTCGTTGCACTGAAGATGGATCCTATAGACATTCTAACAATGTTTAATTTTCATCTTAGAAATCCTACCAAGTTATTTTAGAGTCCTTCACAAGAATAATTGTGGAAAGTATGGTTATTTTCCTTCCCAAATTGAGGTCAAGCAGTTTGAAGCTAAGACGTTGCTCTGGATTATCATTTCGCGTGACAACATCATCAACTACCCAAGTCTCTATGACGGGTGGTATGTTGCGTACAGTCAGAATGTCGAAGTACTAAAGTCACATGGTCTATATCATCATATAATTATTAACTTTCACACAATGAATTTAAATGATCACAAGCAGTACCTTGTTTTTGCCCGCCTCCGTGGCCTAGTGGATATATCGTCTGCCCAGAGACCTGAAGGTCTGTGATCATACCAAAGATGTTAAATGATGGTATTTGTTGTTCCCCTGCCTGGTGCTCGGGATAAAGGGAACAAAAAAACAAGGACTGGTCGGCTCGGAGTCTGTATACAGTGTCTGGGTGGGGTATTCACGCTAAACTGTGACATGATGTCTCAGTGGGCTAGCATTATATAACCGGCATTAGTCCGGTCTGAGACCTGCATCACTTCGGGCTTTCCTCCCACATTAAGCTGACACGCCGTGATATAACTGGAATACTGTTGAAAGCGGCGTTAAATCCAACTCACTCACTCACTCAATTGCGTTGATCGATGCTCATGATGTCAATCACTTGATTGTCTGGTCCAGACTCGATTATTTACAGACTGCCGTCATATAGCTGGAATATTGCTGAGTGCGGCATTAAACAACAAATAAACAAACAAACACCTCACTTTGCGTTTGAGGGTATTGGGCCACTGGCAAGGTGTACAAAGTAAGTGAAGCGGTCGTATAAGGACCTTACCATGTACAACCGGTCGAACAGCCAGCCACAACGATACGTGGTTACCGTAGATTTGGTAAAATAACATAACTAATGGTAGATGATGTAATAGCTTTGGTATCTTATAGCGTGGGTTTGGGTAGGTGTTTTTAATAGTGTAAATATTTTAGTGTTTAACATGTTTAACGGGCTTTTTTGTAACAATTTTCAGATTTTTATTTTGTGTGTTGTAATTATCAATATTCCAGCTACATGACGGCGGTCCGTAAATATGTCAGTCTGGCCAAGACAAACCTGTCATGACGTCGGAGAACAGTGACACACAATCCACCAAGTTACCGAGACTAGCTCAACCCGATTCATTTAGTCGCCTCGTGAGACATGAATATGTTGCTAGGATCTATTCTAACCCGGAATCTTAAACACACAATCACCTGCCCAGGTATTAAATTTAACTTCCGATACGCTTGTGGTATACTGAAAATCGTGATTGTGGTTATACAATGTGGATAACGTTAAGCTGACAATCTAAGCATTGACATCTTTATAAAGCATATTATTAACAAGAGTATTAAAATAGTGTTGACATTTTATTACCACTTCAACAATGCTTATCATTTTCACAATTTGTTTCATCATTGTCGTCTTCGGTCAGTGTTATATATCAATATTCTACTCAATCAAAATATTTTGAAAGTTATATTTATAAACTGCCGGGCTACAGAAAGTATACTCGTGAAAACTGGTTTTGATCAAAATTCTACTAACGTTATACGGGCGGATTTTGGATTTTTTAAAAGTGGGAGTCCTCCTGGGCCATTTCTTACTCAAGTGTGGGTGGGAAGGTGGAGGTGGTGGGAAGGTGGGGTGGTAGGTGGGGGTATCAACACGTTACTAGGCTGGAAACACTGCAAAGGTAAAACACAACCGTATAAAATACATCAACATCAAATAGACCCGTGAAGATCCAGGGTAGAATAGGTCTTCATCAACCAATGCTTGCCGTAAAAGGCGACTTCGCTTGTCGTAAGAGGCGATATTGCTTGTCGTAAGAGGCGACTAACGGGATCGGATGGTCGGACTTGCTGACTTGGTTGATGCATGTCATCGTATCCCTATTGCGTGGATTGATGCTCATGATGTCAATCGCTGGATTTTCTCGATTTATTTACAGACCGCCGTCATATAGCTGGAATATTGCTGAGTGCGGCGTTAAACAACACACAAACAAACAAACAACATCAAATAACCATGTCCTTGTTTCAGTTTTAGACACCATCCAACATGGTACATACTTTCTTGTGTCCGGCAGCTCATACTAAATAAAGCGAATCTTTGACGATTACATCGAGGTAAATTCACAACGAACGAAAATCAACGTAGTCTGCAAGGTTCCCACCTACAAACAATGTAAGTAGGTAATACTGTACTTAGTATATTTACACATCAACTAAATCCATATGGTAACGTTTGTACAAATTGACGAATTAAGCCCAACAGCATATCGAAAGTTATTTACAATAAGGACTTGGCAAACACCCTCTCCTACTTCAGCCACCGTATCAAGCACAAAAATGACGACCGTGTATGTATACACATCTAGTTTAATACTTCAGTGACGTTCATATCCCGAATAAACTTAAAATTGAATAATGCATTCATACAATGAAAGAAAGCGAGATTTTCCCACGCCGAGAGTGTTTCAAGAGTGTTCCCTGGGTGAATGCGCTTTCACATACATTGGAGGCAGGGATAAACTTATACATTGCTCGATATGCGCTTATATACAGGTGTATATACCGTAATATGCACCCCGCGTTGAAGATGTCAATTAAATTTCTATTCCATAATGCACTTTTTTGTTGTTGTCGCCGTTGGTATTAGATAGCATATTTATTGTGAAACGGTGTACGCTCTGACTTAGTTTGAAAATCCTTGTGTCAAAAGGTTAATAATTTGGATGAATGACTTTCCAGTTCGTTGGTGCGTGAACACGATCAAATTAGAGCCTACTAAATGATCCTTTGAGCTTGTTAGTCAGTAATGGATGTTAAAATAACAAAACACGATTAAGTACTATATGTGTAGTAAGAGTGTGAGAACAATTAACGCCGGAGAGAGCTTCGTTCAATCCACTAACAGGGAGCGTCCAAGACACGGGATAAATTTAGAAGAATACGGTAAAACCAAATCGATTCTGCGCATGCGTTCTACGCTTGCTAGTTCTCAGGCCGTTGGGGATTGTAATAGAAGTAGAAGCGAGCGAACGGCCGAGGTACAAACTTGACAATTGGATACTTTACGTCGGGAGAGTTGTGTCCGTGACAAGACAAGTGCAAATGTGACCGAAATAATCAAAATAACGTGGATTTTAATTCCGGTGGACGTTTCCGAACCGGCAAAATGGCTCAATTGGATAAAAGAGCCGAGAAGCAACATCTAGTAAAACTTATTTCTATGTGGAATATAGACCATTACGACATTTTCGAATTAAGTCAACCAGATGAGGTAAGTGATGCATAATATGAGAAATACCGACAATATGTTAGTGTTACATGACCATATCATCCATGTTTGTGAGTGCATTTGAACGTTAATTGCACACCTTAGCACACCTTGTACCTGCGCCGACAGGTGACACGATTTTCGCGTCAACAATAATCCAAAATGGCGACCTTGAGCTGGCCAACATAGATCGCTGTGAAGGCGAGCCATGCCAGACTCGAGTATTTTGACCCGTTCTCTAAGAGCAAGGTACAAAAGTTAAGTTTTTACAACGTTTCTATGATCAAGCGTAACAGGTAAAAGTTCAAAATGCGTCGTCGGAATTCCGGAATTTCAGAGTGGTGATTCACCGCTTTCGTGTGTGACATTTGGAATGCGAGGATGTGTATTGCAACCAGTAGGCGTGTCACTCCCTCTCGTTTCCGTCCGTGATCTCTCAATATACACCTTTAATTGCAATTTCAAATAATGACCTTTAATTGTCACCGTTGTGTACCTGTATTGAAATGTGGCCAGGTATGTTTTGATAGTCAGCTTGTACACAATGGACGTTTAGTAGGTTATTCAGGCGTTGACAGCTCAAGCATTAGTACTTCCTCATATGTGTTCACTATTTCGGTTTTCGCTCCCAAATTATTAAACATTTTGTCTTACCTGTTTTTCAAATGAAATAGACGAATTAATATTGTTTATCTTAGGTATTGATTTATTTTGAGTAAGCACTGTAAATACTCTGACGGTAACCAATCAGGGGATTATATACTTTTAAAAAACATTAATGTCAATTTACCAAGACCATAATATTAATGTTGTATATTGTTTTAGGTGAGATTATTCAGTCCGTCCTGTTAAAGCGTTCGCTCGTCAGACACGGTTCGTTTCCCGACATAGGTACAATATGTGAAGCCTATTTCTGGTGTCCCCGCGTTGTAATATTGCTTGAATATTTCTAAAAGCGTCGAAAAACCATACTCACTCACTTATGTGAGATTAGTGTAGTGAAAGTGTTATTAATCTGTTTCCTTTCACCATGTATAGGATACGTATGTACACAATGTATTAAACTATCAAAGGTTAACTGAACAAAGTGTTAAAAGTAGATATATTGCTGTGGGGATGTGTAATAAGCTTGTTACATACCATACATACATTGTTGAAGTACGACAAGAATATAACATGTTTTTAAGAAACGTTATGCATAGCCATTATGACTCGTATTTCCTGGTTTTGAATAATAGGGTAGGTTTTTGTTTCTGTCGAAAGGGATTATGTCACGTATTTGATCACTTTGATCATGTTTATATAACATTCTAGTGATAGTGACTTCAGTACTTGAAATTTGTTTTAACTACAAACAAACCATATTTCCTTGATTAAACGCCCAGGAGTATATTTCTTTCAGACACTTTTAACCCCTGATGTTTAATTGCAAAAATTATAATGGGTAGAATTCTGTGTATAAAAACTAACTGGCGTTTAATTGAGGCCCAGCATTTCATCGAGATCCCAGCATTTATTCAGGGCCCAGTGTATAATCGAGGAAATACGGTATTGAAATGATGAATAAGTGTGAGGTAGTATTGACAATGATAAATATTTTGTATTGTGAATATAAACAGTATATATTCAGTGTGAAATCTTTTCACTTAGCTCATTATGAAATCACATTGACAAGCTGTGAACAAGCGTGATATATATTTACACATATATATGACTACTGCATGTATATTATTAACAAAACTGGTCCAGATTCTAGTTCAGTGGGACAAGGTGTCAATGGCATTACAGCCAAAAAATGAATTTTTGATAACTAGTATAATGCTTTTGCTCAGTGACTTGGCTGACTGCGTGTCATTGTGCCCTGATGGCATGGATCATTGTGCCCTGATGGCGTGGATCATTGTGCCCTGATGGCATGGATCATTGTGCCCTGATGGCATGGATCATTGTGCCCTGATGGCGTGGATCATTGTGCCCTGATGGCATGGATCATTGTGCCCTGACGGCATGGATCATTGTGCCCTGACGGCATGGATCATTGTGCCCTGATGGCATGGATCACTGTGCCCTGATGGCGTGGATCATTGTGCCCTGATGGCGTGGATCATTGTGCCCTGATGGCATGGATCATTGTGCCCTGACGGCATGGATCATTGTGCCCTGGTGGCATGTATCATTGTGCCCCGGTGGCATGGATCATTGTGCCCTGATGGCATGGCATGGATCATTGTGCCCTGATGGCATGGATCATTGTGCCCTGATGGCATGGATCATTGTGCCCTGATGGCATGGATCATTGTGCCCTGATGGCATAGATCATTGTGCCCTGATGGCGTGGATCATTATGTCCGGATGGCATGGATCATTGTGCCCGGATGGCATGGATCATTGTGCCCTGATGGTGTGGATCATTGTGCCCTGATAGCATGGATCATTGTGCCCTGATGGCGTGGATCATTATGCCCGGATGGCGTGGATCATTGTGCCCTGATGGCGTGGATCATTGTGCCCTGATGGCGTGGGTCATTGTGCCCTGTTGGCATGGATCATTGTGCCCTGTTGGCATGGATCATTGTGCCCTGTTGGCATGGATCATTGTGCCCTGTTGGCATGGATCATTGTGCCCTGATGGTGTGGATCATTGTGTCCTGACGGCGTGGATCATTGCTCATGTTTTCAGTCACTGGTTTGCCTGGTCCAGACGTTATTGTTTACAGGCCTACATGATATTGCTAGAATATTACTGACTGCGGGGTAAGGCTGAAAATGACACAATCCTGTGGAGATTCTGGTTCGAATGCATCTTCAGCAACCTATGCTTGCAATAAGTGGCAACTAATAGCAGGGTGGTCAGACTTGCTGACTAAGTTGATGCTTGTCATAGTATCCCAATTTCGTAGATCAGTGCTCATGATGCAAGGCTTGATTTGGCTATATAAAACATATTACAGTGCATGTAAATAAATTAAAAAATTGTGACAGGACTACATTGACCATCGAACACATTCAACACCTCTCAAGTTTATTTGTCATACTACATCACTACATCACTAATCCCTGTGTTGCGTGTAGTTTGTCATGGTTTGTATGGCTTGACGTCATCCGATTGTGGGTATTTCAAAATTATGTGCACACGTTCCTTTTACAGCAGTTTGATTAATTTGTGTGACACAGGCAGTAGGCCGGCCAATGTTTCAATTTTGGTAAACTATGGGACCAGAGTGCAACTTGGTTTTGTTTGGAGCAACTTAGTTTTCATCTCAACATGCATCTGGTGCAAGTTAACTCAAGTTGCTTAGATCAAGCCCTGTGATGCCAATCACTGGATTAGCTGGACCACACTTGATGATTTACAGACTGCAGTCATATGGCTGGAATATTTCTGAGTGTAGCGTTAAATAACAAACAAACCACAAAAGGCACAAGATTGGGTGTGCATAGTGTGATGTAAATTGGTAATGCAGCATTTTAAGCAGAGGGCATATTGTAGTTTACGCTCAGACTCGGTGCTTGGATGCTAGTTGGTCACATTTTGGTTATGCAGCATATAAACAACAATCATATTTTCAGACATTGTTTACTTTATGGCTTGCAATGTGTAGTGAGTGAAAGTGACTGAACAATGTCCATCTGTCAAATAATTGAATCTGGATAATTCAAACCAGAGATTGATTGCTTCAGCATATGAACAATGTGTGGGACCAACTTTGCCAAGGAATTCCTCAAAATGGTCATGATGGTCAGTGGATAATTGTATGCTCAAAATGCTTTTCTAATAATAAGCTCAAAGTAGCAACCTTCAATTGTCCCAATATGAAAATGTACTTATTCCTTTTGAGTGAAGTTTTCATCAGACGTATTAACATGGCTATGTCAGGAATTTGATGCCAGTGTGTTAATACTCTCACCAATATACATACCAGACTGAATCTGGTGCTAGGGTTTTAATACTCTCATCAGTATACCAGACTCAATCTGTTTTCTTGTCTGGTTCTGCAGTGTTGATCCTAAATCATACCGAGAGGTTTTTACTTCTGAAACATGTACTGGAAAACTGTTTTCAAACTTACATATTCCATGGCTGTCTTTATGGAACCACAATCAACCAGTAAGTGCTTCTCCTAAAAATGACTGCCTTCATCACCATGATACTATAAACGGAATGCCTACTTTGGCTTCTGGTTTCGTTGCGCCCAGGGCGGTTACTACATTCTTTACGGTAACTGTTTTATTCATAGCTCTCTCACAAGAAGGATCTTCCCTGCTGTAGGATAAACACTCTTGAAAAAGACGCTAAGCTGCAGGTATTGGTTACCCAGTTGCATGGGAGGTAAACAAATACCATAAGTCGTAATGAAAAAGTACAAATTTAGTTCTAGTTATTTCCAGCATGTCCAAAGTGCAACTACTTTTATATAAAGGTTGCGCCCCTGCACAATTGTTTATGAATCTAAATGTGGGTCAGAATACCTTAACCATTGTCTTCACTTGGCTCGTGTGGCGTTTATCAGAGAAATAGAATAAGCTAAGAAGGCTAACACTATACATCCCGATGATCTGAGATAGTTGTTCATGTTGTAACAGACAATGGTGTATGTAATTCTAACTGCTAGATGAACGAACAGCTTGCTCTGCTTACAAACATTTGTCAGTGTCTCGATCTAGTCTGCGCACAGGGAAAAATCTCAGTGTTGTGTTTTCCTGTGGATTTGATTTGTACCGTATTTACAGAACAAAATGCACTATCTTTTTTTTAATTGTCTTTTAAGATGTACAGGTGGCGCTGATCATGTGAGTTTGTGTGTTAATATTGTCATAATGCTTCTTGGCAAATGTCAGTCGTTTTTATTTCCAGAAGAGTTCTGGACAGTTGCTTTTTGCTTGATGAGACTCAGTTGCTACGGATCAACTTGGTTCCATGTCCTTATTCATTTTACATTGGTTGATTTAACAAGTGGCATATTGTGCAATTTACATTGCAGAGTTACATACCTTAGTTGTGC